GTGTATCAGAATCGTCGAATTCCTTTATCGCCGAAAGACGGTGTGGTAGTGGGATTGTGTCTAGAACCGGACGCGAATTACTAGTCCACTTAACAAGATCGAATTGACCCAATTTCATGAGCTTTATAACCTCGGCGGTGGTTAGGGTGGCCTCCTCCACGCTCGCCCTTGGTAGCATCACATCGACCGAGTACACAAAATCATCCATATATAATCCACTTTCAATTGCCCTCTTAGCTTTAGGGTAAGAGGGACCTTCATCGTGAGCGAGCTGTCTCACCGTGCGTAACGCATGAAATGGGCTCGACTTTAAACCAAAACAAACGCGGTTAAATTCAAACACCATTAGAGGTTCCTTTGGGTTGAAACGATATAAAATGCGTTGGAATCTACGGTCGCATTCACGGAACCCTATGCAAAGAAACATTTGGCGAATATCGGCGGATAGTGCTATACTAAACAAACGAAAATTGGCTATTATATTAAATAAACTGCCCTGTAAATATTGCCCACTATAGAGGATATCGTTAAGCGACAGGTGAGTGCTAGTTTTAGCACTAGCGTCGAGCACTACACGTAACTTAGATGTAAGTTTGTCCTCCCTAATGACCCCGTGGTGTGGTATGAAATACGACGATGTGTCTTCGTAGTTATCTAATTTCGTAGCCACAAGTGATATGTAACCTTCCCTTATATATTCGTTAATGACGCCGTCATAAGCTTCTTTTAACTGGGGTGAAGCGAGCATCCTACGCTCCAAGCTGTAGAAACGTTTTTCCGCCATTTGACTCGAATCGCCGAGAGATAAAACATCTCCTTTAAAGGGTAGCGCTACACTATATCTACCTTCGCGATCACGAACGGTCGTGCGGGCGTAAATTTCCTCGCATAATCTGTCATCTGAGCTAGCTATGGGTGGGACGTTCACCTCCTCCATCTCCCAAAATTTGCGGACTAACTGCTCGAGCGGTTCTACAGCCATACAACAATAAGAGGTTGCCGAAATATTATCTATGATGTCGACGCATTTTTTAATTTCTTGTTTAACGTTCGTGGAGCGCTGCATCACCTTAATTTGATCTCAAACAAACGATGCTAATGAATGAAAGGAAGGCATCTCCGAGCTACGATGCTCCATTTCAAACACACGCACGGTGTGGGGTCTAATTTCTTTAGTGCAATATGGAGAAACACCACGTCCATAAGGTCATTAAATTTCAAGTTCTTAAGTGCAGCCACAGATGCCACAAATTTATCTAAAAACTGCTCTGAGCCGTTGATGTTCGCGGATGATATAGGTTTATGATCGAATATCTGGTTCAAATATTCGGAAGCTAACATTGTCCTATCTTCATATTTAGTTTTAAGCGTTTCGAATATTAACAAGTAATTGTTTGCTGTAGGTGTAAACCCCGAGCAAATTGACTGTGCCCTGCCACTAAGTTTACTAATTAAATAATATAATTTTTCAGCGTCCGATAACGATGGGTTATTATGTATATTGTTTTGAAAACTACTGAAGAAGAAGGGCCATGTCTTAATATCACCATTGAATACCGGAATATCTATTGGCGGCAACCTAATTGAGTCACGTGGGCTTACCTGGATTTCCGGCTTTGCTTCGTTTTGAGATGGAGACACAACATATCTTCAAATGCTAGAAGCGGTTGGTAGTTCACTATATATTTCGGGTCGATTTGTAATTCCAAATGATTAATTTGGTCTAATATCTTTTCGTAATCCGCCCGCAAAGAATCCACCGTTTCAATTTCATTTAAAAAAGTTTCCCGCACTGCTTCTACATTAATGTTCTTTATGTGATCACTAATACTTTGTATACGTGAAAAAAATATGTCCCTCTTGGCATAAAGCGTTTTAATTTTAATTTCATTTCCACTAACTGCCATTTTAAATTATTGTAATTAATATTATATTAATCACAATTAATCGCACAACGCTGGAAGATGGACACGCGTGCCGTATTACGTCGTTAAATTGAACACCTGTACAGCGAGCCGAGGTGACGCGCGTCGGTCGCTAAACTCAATATATTTTTATCAAAATTGTCGGGTAAGCGTACAAAACGCGTGTGATTACACTGTTTCAATTACTTAAGCGACTAATAAGCTTTAAATTTAAACCAAATACAAACACTATTTAAATGAATAATTTTATTTGCGAGTAACTAACCAAAATTTAAATTTAAACTAAACGAATACTATTAAAATGAAGAATTAATTCTATTTGCAAGTAACTAACCAAAAGTTTAATTTTAAACTAAACGAACACTATTAAAATGAATAATTAATTCTATGTATTTGCAAGTAACTAACCAAAGTTTAATTTTAAACTAAACGAACACTATTTAAGTCTATTCCATAAATTAAAGTGCATTGTCTAAGTAATTAATCTAATAATTCGACCAGAAAATGGTTGAACGACTACTAAACACCAGTCCAAATCCTGCCGAAGTGACCATAAAATGGTGGAGCGACGAGCCTAAGGTTACCGAAATCCAATTCCCCGGTCGAGCCTTGAGCCTATTACGCGAGATGTTAAACCTAAATGGACTGTATATGCGAAATGCTTCTTTGTTTACGCAAAATGGCGACTATAGTACGTGGTTTCCCATACAATGCACTCGCTCTTCCCTAAAACGAACTATTGCTTGCCAAAATCTATGAAAGGAATCCTGCTTGATTAGGAGAAAATGAAATTGGAGCGGATTAACTATTAAACACAATTATAAAGGGTGTCTCAGCGCCGATTTTAAACTTTGAATATTTATATAAAAAAAAAACAATTGTGTTTATAATATTTTAATTGTAGTAAATTATAGTACATTAGTGCGAATTTTATGTACGGAATATTACACCGTCAAGATGTCTTCCATCACGACGAATGCACTCTTCAAAGCGGACTAACGAATTTGCAGAAACACGCTGCAGAACGTCAATTGATATGGCCCTCACTTCTGTCGTTATTTTAGTCTTCAGCTGCTCTAAATTCATAAGAGGGGTATCAAAAATTCTTGCTTTAAGATAACCCTATAAAAAAAAGTCAGCTGGGGTTAAGTCGGGAGATCTGGGTGGCCACAATATGTCTCCAAAGCGGCTTATGATTTTTCCCGGAAACAACGCTTTTAGTGTGTCCATGGAGACCCTAGCTTTGTGGGCTGTGGCCCCATCTTGCTGAAACCATACACCGGACTCATCAACATCCTCTTCTTGCAGCTGCGGTACAAAAAAGTTATTAATCATGTCGATATACTGCTCTCTCGTCACTGTAACCGTTGCACCTCGATCATTCTCGAAGAAAAATGGCCCGATGATTTTCTTCGCCGATATTGCGCACCATACAGTAACTTTGGGGCTGTGTAATGCCTTCTGATGTTTTTGTTTTGGATTGCTGGGTGACCAGTAACGGCAATTTTGGCGATTGACGTACCCTTCGAGGTGAAAGTGTGACTCATCGCTAAAATAAACATTGGACATCCCATTTTCCTCTGAAAAAATCCCTAACATCTTCTGACAGAAAATTTTTCGCTTCTTATAGTCTTCTGGTTTGATTTTTTGAACTATTTGGATTTTATAGGGATGTAATTTTAAGTCTAAGGCCAAAATTCGTTGAATACTTGAACGATGAAGATTCAAAGAGGCAGCATGTTTTCTAACTGATCGTCGTGGATGCTCCGCGACCGCAGCGGCGACGCGGTCGATGTTTTCAATCGATCGAACAGGTCTAATTCGAGGGCCAATTGAATGTTTCATTAAACATCCTGTCGCTCTGAACTTTTTTACCCACGACTTAATTAACTGAATACTCGGGGCATCACTTAAACGGCGGATTTCATAGCGATTACAAAACTTGCGCTGTGCTTCCCTCAGCGAAAACTCGTTGCAAAAATACGCCTCTACTGCGTACGCGCGGTGCGCGACAGACCACTGGGACATAGCGACTAAAAAGCCCGCACTAATCACCTACCGAACGCTACCTCTCCCCTCCCGCTAACCCCGCCGGTTGCCGAGAAATTGGTATTTAAAGTTTAAAATCAGCGCTGAGACACCTTTTATCAAGCAGGAACTAGTAGGAATGCTCACTCACCGGGGTGTTGCTTCTATGTGGCTTGGGCGCTATGTTGCTGCGGTGTGACCTCTGGTGGACTCTCTGGGGCCCCAGAGATGCTTTCTTGTCCGGTGATGCGTCGGGAGAGCGTGCGGTGCGCGACTATTTCTCACACGAGGTGAGGCGGGTTTCCTGGAGCTCGCCGGCTTCCAGGCTAAAGCGGTTATACTAGCGGTACGTGTGGGCAATAGCCCTTCTATGACACTATTGTTTTAAGCGGTGTGGTTCCAACGACGAGCGCGATGGGAAGAGAGCCTTTTATTCCTTCGGTTGCGATGATCGCGTGATATTCTAGAATCATCTTCTCTCCCCTCCCACCCCACACCCCGATGTGTCGATAGGAGGGTATGAATGTTATGGTTTGGAAAGGGATAAACGATTTGGCAAGCCTACCGTCAAATATAAATAAAATACGAATGGTTTTCCGCGCAACCAGTGGGCGTTATTATGCGATGGTGGATTATTGCGCCCTGTATTGTATTAGGTAATATCCGCCCCAGAGCTAAGCATTCTTAATGAGAGTTGCTTCACAAACTAATATTTTGATAGTTAAAATGAGATCAGGTAATTAGTACAGTTACTTACAAAATGGAAAACAACTGTCAATTGCAAATAAACCATTTTCTAAATTATAGTATGATACAATATCAATCAGTCTTTGAATATGAAACCAATCAGTTAACTTGCTTTACCTTAAAGTCATTAAATAGTATAAACCAGATTAACACTCGGAACAAATAAATTCTTTATCATATTTTGATAGTACCACACACTCTTCGTGGTACGATCTCTTACAAATTCCACATTGACGCATGTCTAACTTCTTGTTTTCAAAACATGCATAGCAGTACCACTCTTCGGTATCATCTTTTATTTCATTTATTTGCTTCTTTTTTCTTTTTTCTTTGTTGTTTTTTTGTTATATCTTTACACTTTAAAACTTTTTTCTCAGTGTTTACTTCTTTGGTGTTAGGATTTTTCTTATCTAATGTTTTCTTCTTCTGTTGTTTATTAGTTTTGGCATTAACCTTGCTATTTTTTTTTTGTTGTTTCTCACTTTTATCTGAAAATAAATCCTTAGTTATTCTTTGTACTTTATAATTCATCGCTTTCTTACGCTGTCTTTTTGTTTTAACTTGTGCATAATTGGGAGTTGGCAAAAAAATTGGAATGGTGTCTTATTACTTTGTTTGTTTAAATTAATATTATAATCTCCATCTGAGGCACTAAATTTCTCATTATTTGTTTTGTACATTTCATGTGAGGAACTAATAATAAGTTTCTTAGGTGTGATTTGCCCTTTAGGGATAAAATAGTCAGTATTTTCATCATCTTCGGCTGACGAGTAACTATATATGTCTTCAGCAGTGCATTTTTTAAAGGTAGACGTATGAACTAAAGCATCTAAATCAGAAACTGTGGAGTTAGAACTAGAGCTTGGACGAATAGGTTTATGTAATCCAGAACAACTTGGAACTCCCAAATCTATTTTGTAAGTATCCTTATTGCTTAGAAGTGGTTTGTCATTGGCACTTACCAAAAAAACGTCATTTTCTGAAATCAAAGAAGGTGAAGCACAGTGTTCTTCCACCTGTGTTGCTGCCCTATGAGGATATTCTACCATTTCGAAGTCAGAAACATCGGGAGATGAGCTATAGTCAACGAGACGGCATTTAACTATTGAAGAGTTTTCAGTTGTTGAAGGTACGATTGGTACCAAATCGGTTTCGGTCGGTTTATTAAGATCAGGGTATTCATCTATCTCTAAAGCGCCATTTACATGATGCAAGTTTCTTGCCTGTTGCATATAATAAAATTGAAGCAATAAATTACCTACATGGTCTAAACAGTACGTAACATTTTGATCTTTTGCGCAAGTTTTGCTTGCCAAAATTTTCTTGGTGTAAACAGCACATACAAAAATTTCTTAGGCGATTCTTGCATTCAATTAGTTTTCCATTCATTTGCCAACATGAGTGCAGTAAGTGAAGGTGTGTTAATCGTTGCTGCTCTTCTGAGACAAGAAATATTGAGAAATCGTCGTAAAAAGAGGTGTTGAATCAAAAAATGGATAGCAAGAAGAGGAGTTCTTGGAGCGTCTAACAATCTTTGTGTAGAATTACAAATAGAAAATGAAGATGACTTTAAGAACATGTTTCGTGTCAACAGAACCCAGTTTTATTATTTATTAGATAAAATTGGTTCTTCTATACAAAGGCAAAATACAACAATGCGTAATGCTATTCCTGCTCGAACAAAACTAGAAATAGCATTAAAATATTTGGCAACTGGAGATTCGTTTGGTACACTGTCACAATTATTTAGAGTACCTAGGTGTACTATAAGTACATTCTTAGTCGAAGTTCTTGAAGCTATTTACTCTGTATTAGAAGATTTTATAAAGGTGAGTTCGAAATAAAACAGTTTTTATAATAGAATCATATATTTTCAGCAAAATTATTAGAAATTGTTAATTACTATTTATCCTCAGAACGAAAAATAAACTACGTAATCAGATATTTAATTAAAATAGAAAAAAAATTACATGTTCAACCATGTGTCTTCGCTGCCTTGTTTCGAATACGGGGATTCTGGCATTGGAGTAGAGTTTTGTCGTTCTTTTTCTCGAAGATCTTGCAGTTTATATTTTGATAATATTGCTTGTATTTCGTCCTGAGCATGTATGCTATTTTCGGTATTCAAAATTCGCAATGAAGACGCAACATATTTTCTGAAATTGTCCAAATCATCGTCTTTTTTTTCAAGTCTTGCTCTTTTTTCAATATTGTCCAGTTTATCTAAGGCCGATTCTATGTAACCTGATTTTTTTAGTTGTTTTTTTAAGCATTGGAAACGGAAGCACATCATCGACGACTTGTATATTTGAATTTATAACATTTTCAATATTTTCCGTATTTTCATTTTCAAGCATATAAACGTAAAATGTCCCCCTGGCACAGAATCAGACTTTTTTAATTATAAATGTACATTTAATATTGTGTTACTAGCTTGTGTTGATCACGACTATTGTTTCACATACATTGACGTGGGAGCAAAAGGTAGAAACTCTGATGGTGGAATATTTAATAATTGTACTTTAAAGAAGGCTATTGAAGAGAATACCATAAATTTGCCAAGTAATGCAGTACTTGTCGGAGATGAAGCGTTTCCTTTAAAACCTTATTTGATGAAACCATATCCTCGCCGTAACGATTTAAGTAGAGAACAAGAGAACAAAAAATCTATAACTACAGATTGTGTAGATGTAGGAGAATCGTTGAAAATGCTTTCGGAGTTTTAACATCCCGATTTCGAATTTTCGAAAAGCCAATCACTACAAGTATAGACAAGGTAGATGTCATAGTGAAAACATCATGTGCTTTACACAACTGGCTTAGGAAAACTTCACCTGCATCTTACAACCCACCAGGTTTTATAGACGAAGAATGTCAAAGAAGTGGTCTTCGTCTTGGTATTTGGAGACAAAATGCTTCAGGCGGAGCTTTTGAAAATATAACATCACAGAACAACAGGAATAGTACAAGGGAAGCTATAAGAATCTGTGATAATTATTGTCGTTACTTTAACAATGATGGTGCTGTACCTTGGCAAGACAGTGCCATTTTTTAATGAAAAAAAGTTTCACATTTATAATATTATGCACTTGACTGTACTTTAGAAAATTTACATAAATACATACTTACCATATTTGATGTTGTTTCTCTGTGTTCAGAAGTTTTCCTTAAAAAAAGAGTCCATTAAATTATACCAAGAGAGTTTGGACTTGTAAATATCAGCAGTACCGGAACCAGTGCTCATTGAATCTTTTATCTTTTTCCTTTCCGCATGATACTGCGTTCTTAAGTTTTTTATTTTGTTTGTAATTTCCTTAGGTCCCAAACCATCAACTCCAAATTCTTGTGAAAATGCTACAAGTATAGCACTACGTGCATCACGATTCTTGTAATTCACATTTTCAGTGTCCCACAAACACTCATGACTGCGATAAATCTCAATAAACTTTATTAAGTCAGCAGAACCAAATTTTAACACTTTTTGACTCATATTTTTTAATAAACAGACTCTTTACAAAACCCCACACCTAACCTAACACACTTGAATGAAAAATTTGACAACGCAAATACGTGCAATACTTGAAGCAACCCGCCAATAAATGGTACACGCACATACAACTCTCTATTTAGACAAATCAAAACTTGAAAGCAATAATCTCCTAAACATTATTGTATTGGTCTAAACGGAAGACATTTGCAACTATTTTTTGTCAAGACTTGCATTCAATAATTGCGTTCAATTTTTTTACTTGTATCCACGTGTTAACAGTTGCGTACAATTCTTGAAGGGCAATTAACGCACTTAATTTATTGCATTCAGTAATTGCACTTGAATGTACAAGAAAATTGTATCGTCTAAATCACGCCTAATACATCAGATGTAGAGTTCTGCAGGAGCCAATCACATATCGATAGATCGTCATCAGTGTCATCGTTCAATATGACGTCAGATAAAGGACTTTGTATGGGCTCCACGCTAGTTTGTGGCCATGCAATTTCAGACAAAACTGATGGGGCATATGCTTCCTCAGGTATAGCTTCAGGTTTAAACGGGAATAATCCTGTTGCCGCAAATCCATTCACAATGTTGCTATGCGTCATGCATTTGGGCCAGACTTGACTAAATATCTTATTTAAAGTGGCTTTTGACATTGTTCTGTCGGGGTGTGTATAAGAAGTTCAGAACTGCTTCATCCCAGTAGTGTTCATACGACTTATTGACTAATTTGTCTAAGGGCTGAAGCTCATGCGTTGTGTTGGAAGGGAGGCAATACAAAACTATATCGTTTTTATCAGCTGCATCTAAAACTTCTATTGACAAGTGACATTTGGCACCATCAAATATAAGTAAACATTTTCCAGCAACCTTGTATTTCGCTAAGTGCCTAATAAACTCCACACACAAGTCAGCAGTCATACTGCCTTTCGGTGCCATCCTGACTAACGTTCCTGGTGGTAAGTTATCACATAGATCAGGTCTCCGTCTTTTTCCTTTAAAGAGGATCATAGGTGGTATCGCAGTACCAAGGCATTCACGCACATTGCTATCGTAACATTTTCCGCTTGTTCAGGGGCAATGAGATGAACTCTTGCTTCCTTTCTCTGCTAGGACTGTGTTCTGCTTGTGTACAGTTATCCGGCATCCCTTTTCATCCATATTGTACAATTTTTCTGGATGTTGTAGGATATCCATGTCATTGTACAATTTTTACACACTCTGAAAATGTTGCTGAACAATTATTTTGTTTAATTTTTGTGCTCGAGCTGGATTCATTATTTGCGGCTTTCGTTTGCTAATTGAGGGATTCCGTAATGATTTCTTAAATTTACGCGAACACTACACATTGATCACCAGCTGATCGACCCCAATGAAAACGGTGATCCTCTGGGTACTGCATGAGCCGACAGTTTATAATGGATTCCATTATTTTGGAGAACAAAGAGGTGATGGTGATAGGCCTGTAGTTTGACGGATCTGAGCGAATATATATAATATCGGATATTCGTAGTAGGTACTATTTATTATAGGGTAAAATTAATATTACCCGTGCCTATTGAGCGTAATCCAAGTATACTATATACTAGCTACAGTTGCTATGCTGACGGTATCAACTATGAGTTGTTGGGTCATCTAACTGCCTAAATTAACCAGCTAATAGTGTTTTCAGCAAAGTGACTGTTATCTTTACCCATCGCTATTAATTATTTATGTCCTCTCAATTGAGAAGACTGCAAAAAATAAATTACCAAAGGTAGAAAGGTTTCCGTTGTCAATTATGCCACGTTTGTTGTTTTTAGTAACTCATCCCATGATTTATATTTATTTTATTTACATTATTTACATTATATTTTATTTACATCATGCAAAATCATCCCATAATTGTCAATGTCAAGCATGGAACAAGCATTCGTAGTTATATCTTCCTATCTATCAAAACCATACCGCGACGTAATAACAAGTTCAGTGGACTTTTATTTTATTTGAAGAAGATTTTATAAGTTGTTTTGTGCAATATTAGTTTTAAATAATCTAATGATATGAATAAACTTATACATGTTAAAAAATTCATGATTGGTAAGTTTTTAATTTGAATACTTTACAAACATATATTTAAATTAGGTTAGGTTCCCCGGTAAAACTAACTTCGTTTCCATTTTGCTTACAAGCGCTTGCTAGCGCTTTTTTCTGCCAAACGCACCCACCCATTGACTAAGAATAAAGCACACAACACTATTACTCCTAGCGGAGAGAATAAAGTCTGTAGTTTCAAACTAGACATGTGGAAATCACTCATTTCTAGCGACCGAATCATTCTAGTACATTTCGTCACGCGTACTGGTACATTCGGATCGATCATTCAAATGGATCATTTCAGGCCCCAGTACTCTGTGAGTCAGTGAAATCTATTGGGAACCGAAAATTTGAGATTTGTAATAGCGCCATCTACTACATCAGTAATAAAGTCATTTTATCTAATTAAAACCTATTAACTTTCAAGGTGGTAAGAACAATCGACGCTCGATGGCGTAAACACAAAACCTCAAGTTATTATATATTTTAAATATTTAATAAATTTGTTTAATGAAATTTCATCTTACTTTGCATGTCTAAAAATATGGATTGAAACATTTATTTGCTATGAAATTAAACTTTTACCTAACTTATACTTATATAAGATACTTACTTACTTATCTTCACGCACAATCCCTAACGGGGTAGCCGGAGAGAACAGATCGCCAAGTGTCACGATCTTTACATACCTCTTTCGCTTCTTTCAGATTCATTAACTTCTTCATACATGCACGTCTAGGTATCCGAGTACTCTTGACCCTCCCCTCTTCGAGCAATTTGCTCACATGGTCTTCGAAAGTTAGTCTCGGTCTACCTCGACACCTTTTATTATTTACTTTCGCTCTATATATTTTCTTCACCATTCGGTCTTCACTCAGTCGTTCAACGTTCCCAAACCATTGGAGTACGCCCCTATCAATTTTTGTGATAAGGTCATCTTTCAATCCTGCCATATTGCGAATCTCTTCGTTTCGCTTTCGGTCGGCTATGGTAACGCCACACATTTTACGAAGAGATCGCATCTCCACTGCATTCAACTTGCTTTTATGCTTCTTCTGGCATACTCTGTGCACTCTTCACTACGCCTTGCCTTTTAACTAACGCATTCAGGGCACCATTGACTTTGTTCCCGGCAGCGACACGCCTGTCCACATCTAAATCACATCTTCCATCCCGGCTGAAAGCACTCCCCAAGTATACAATTTCATTTACCTGTTCTAGACATTCCTGATTTACCCATATTTCACATTTCGTTCTCTCTTCGTCCTTTTCAAATACCAGAACCTTAGTTTTATTACTATTCAAACGGAGACCTTTAATTTCACATTCCTCTTTCATACACGTGACTAATGCCCGCAGTTCTGCTTCTGATGGTACAATAAGCACTGCATCATCAGCATACACAGCAGACAATTAACTTTAGTGTCACCTAATTTCACACCCAAACAGCTATTTTTCGGCTTCTGTAAACAGCTGTCGAGATACAGTATGAACAGCCAGGAAGACATGACACAACCCTGTTTTACGCCCGCTTGGACGCTAAACATGGGTGACAGGTCATGCCCTACCCTCACACAGGCTTTACAGTCATAGTAAAGTGACTGCACAGCCCTTAACAATCGACCATCCACACCATATCCCGGCAACAGTTCCCACATTTTCTTCCTTATAACCGTATCCAATGCTTTCTCCAGATCCACAAAAGCACAGAAAATCCTCTGGTTAACACTCAGAAGCTTCTCCGTGATCACGCAGAGAGAAAACATTTGATCCGTGCATCCTCTTCCAGGTCTAAATCCGCATTGTGCCTCCCATAAGAATCTTTCCGATTTCTCTTGCATCCTACGTGTCAAAACCTTCGAGTAAACTTTACTTGCTAAACTGGTCAAGCTGATCGCCCGATAGCACCCGCAGTCAAAATGTGAACCTTTACCTTTATGTAAAGGCATAATGACCGCGGATCGCCAATCATCCGGGACATCTCCCGTCCGCCAGCACAAATTGCACAGCAGATGAAAGCTGTCCCAGACGCGAGGCCCACCGTACTTGACCATTTCAGCAGTAACTCTGTCTAGTCCCGCAGCCTTACCACATTTCAAACTTCGAATCGCACGTTCAATCTCTTTCATGCTGATGACCTCAGTGTCATCGAGGTCCGTGTCTGGCGTGCCAGTCACGGCGTCACCCCCGAATCCTTCACTATGAAACTAACAGAATGACATGCACCATCGCGGACACCGCGCGCGTTACACGATGTTACGCTCTCCTCCCGCTTCTCGCGACCGCGACAAAGTAATAAGTGACAACAGTGTAGCTAAGTGCAAAGACTGTGAAGTGGTGATCAATGAATTACTAGCTTTTGTGGCGAACAAGGTTGACACATTAGCCGAGCTTGGACTTATACAAATATGTTTGAGTGCCTACTCCTATGACGATATCGAGTTCGCAAGACAAACTGTTTATAAATTACTTGCCCCACAAAAAAGGATTACTAGGCGTAAGGAAGGGAGTGAGAAGAATAGTCTGCAGGAAATAATAAAGCTAATAAAGGAATTTGAGCCGGACTGCCTGCCAATTTTTGTGGCAAAGGATTTAAACGAGTTACCGCCAGTTACTTTTGATAGCATCGATGTGACAACGTTCCTTAAGGATATGGCGTTATTAAAAAAAGAGATCGCAGCTTTACGCACAAGCTCCAATCCCTACAGTTCCTCTCTGGAATCACTCAAAAAAAGATCTAGCTGACGTTAAGCTTGCATTGAAGGAGCTGCAAGAAAAAAGAATTGGGTTTAACTCTGCAACCTGTGATACATATTCGTCTCCTATATCTTGTGAGGACAAGATTCCCGGAAGGCGGGTAGTTAAGTATAAAAGTGCACAGAAATCGCTGTTAGCCAAGATAAGCTCGCAAGCGTCCACACCGGCCGCTCCCTTCCACCAGAGCCCACAGTGAGGGCATCGTGTTCACCTACGACATCGCAAGGCGCAGCGAACAATAAATCAGTCCTACAGTCCAGCGGCACAGATTCTAAACAATTGTCCAGTCAACCGAGTTATGCTAAAGTTGCGGACGGTTCTGACTTGGGTCCTAAATTTGCGCTTGATTGTGATTTATTAACTGTGTCTGAACACAATGATAATGTATACAATTCGCACGTTCTGTCACTAAAACCGATAAAAGAGGGGAACTGGACTACAGTGACGAGTAAACGTCAAAAGAGACTAGGGAATAGAAAAGGAAAAGCGCATCCAATAAGCGAATTTAATTTCAAAGCAGCAGAAAGAACCTTATCCCTGTATATATCACGAGTACACAGAGATAGTACGGCGAATGACATTGCTGGCTTTATTAAGTACAAGACTCAACTGGAAACGGTAGTTACTAAAATTAATACGTACGAAAATAGTTTTAATGCCTTTAAAATCACAGTACCGCTTCATAAGCCTGATCTCTTTTTGAATGATGAGGGGGATCAATTTTGGCCCGCGGGAATTGTTTTTAGAAAGTTTAGAGAGCGTGGGTATCGCCCTGTACAAAGAGAACCAAGGAATGAGAACAAAATTACTAATAAACAATATG